ATAGATTGTGAACTCTCCCATCATAAAACAAGAAAATATTTTTAAATACCTTTTGAATAAAATAGATGAACCTATACCAGTCAAAGGGAAATCCAGTGAGGTCAGTATTAGGTTTTCAAACTGCAGCAACCCAGCCCCCTCACCAACATGGTCTCAAGGACTTCTCAACTCCTGAGAAGAGGGAACTGAGTTGATAAGCACCTTGGTCTTTGAAGTCAAGAGAAGCAGACTTTTCTCCACTGTTTGGCTAACACAGCAGGCTTCCCCTTTTATCTCTAAAGAGGGCAGGTTTTAACAGTCCCGCTCTCCCACTTCCCCCTGCCCAATTTAAAAAAAAAAAATACATCTTCCTGCCTTCTGCAGGAAGCAGAAGCCTCCCCCTTAAACAAGACCCCAGCTCAAGACCCGGGCAGACATTTTGCCTGCCCGGAAGGGAATCTGTCCCATGTGTTCCTTTGCTAATAAACCCCATTTTGATGGAGTTTTATCTGTGTCCTGGTGCTTCCTCCTCTAGCCGTTTGTTCTCCAGCAACTTTTCATCTATCAGTCAGAAACAAAGCATGAATCCATGTCCACTTTCTGATCTCACCAGGGGCCTAAGCCTCCAGGGCAGTTTTAGCTTGGGGGGCAGGGGGCAGCCAGTACTCGAGATTGATACACAGTAGTTAGTAACATAGGACAGAGAAATGGAGACTATGAAAGATCAGTAAAAAACCCTTGGAAGGAAGGCCAGGCATGGTGGCATGTCTCTGTAACTCCAACTCTGGGAGGATGAAGAGATAGGCAAATTTCTGGAGGTCACTGGCTAGCCAGTCTAGACAATTCATGAGCCCTGTGTTCAGGGAGAGACCCTGTCTCAAAAAATATGGAAGACAGTGATAGAGGAAGACATTTAACATTGACCTCTGACCACACATGTACACACACACACACACACACACACACACATACACACACACATATACACACAGTGAAGGGAGGTTAGGATGTAACTCAGTGGCAGATTTGGGCCTATCAGTCACTAAGACCCAGTGTTCAATTCCCAGAGCTGAAAACATAAACAAAACCAAAAACCCTTTGAAGGAAGCAAAATGTCAGATGGAATATAAGGTGGTAGACATTTGTAGTACTGGAGACAGTAAAGGACAAGACAACATTTAAATACACAGTAGCTTCAACTAGATGCTAAAGTGCTAAAAGAAACTCATCCATTCCAGATCTCAAACAATAGTTCAGAACTATAGTCATAAAACAGCATGGTACTGGCACAAAAACAGACACATAGATCAATGGAACACAATTGAAGAGCCAACATGAGTGTATGCAATTTCAGCCATCTGATATTTGACAGAGGTGCCAAGAACATACACTGGAGGAAAGACAGCATCTTCCACAAATGGTGTTGACAAAACTGGATCTTTCCCCATAGAAAAATGGAATTCAGCCCTTATCTTCACCCTACACAAAAGTCAATTCCAAATGGATCAAAGGCCTCAACGTGAAAGCTGAAACTTAGAAGAAAACATCAGCTGTACCCTGCAAGATATAGGTATAGGAAAGGACTTTCTAAATCAGACATCGGCTGCTCAGAAGTCAAGGTCAACATTCAACAAGAGGTGCCTCATTGAACTGCAAAGCTGCTGTACAGCAAAAGAAGCAACCCACAGAGTGGGAGAAAATCTACATATCCAGCAGAAGATCAATATCCAGAATATACCAAGAATTAAAAAACAAAGAAACAAGAAACCAAATGACCCAATAAAAATGGGCTAAGGGCTCAAACAGAGAGCTTTCAAAAGAAGACATAAAAACAGCTAAGAAACACCTTTAAAAGTGTTAAACATCCTTAGTGATTAAAAAAATATAGAGCAAAACCACTTTAAGATTTCAACTTACCCCAGTCACACTGGTTTAGATTAAGAGAACAGATGATACCAGATAGAAAGGGGAATGTTCAAACATAACCTTGAGATTGATAGTAGACATTCCTACAGTGAAAGTAGTCAAGAAACAATCAAATGTCTTAATAAGGAAAAATATCGGATATTTTAATGAACAAAACAGAAAAAGATTTACCACCAGAAGAACCTTACCAAAGGAACACCTAAGGATAGATAGACTTCAAGAGTACTTGAAATTGCCTCTGAGGAGCAGTCTGAGGCATGCAAAGACTGAATGGATGAAGCGAAAAGCAATCCTGAGAATAAAGCTAAATAGATAAAGAATGGTGCCTATTTCAACAGTGTTTTATAAGCTAAAAGAATACGCTGCTACCACGTAAGTTTCGAGTCAGATAATTGGAATTAAAGGGCCATTGCAAGGCTCTTGTGTTCTCAGGAAATACTGCAATCAGGTATCTTTGATGCACTCGGAGTGTAAGACGAAAGCTTGAATTAAACATAAAATGGTATCTTCTGGTTACAATTTGTAAACACCCTCTCACACCAGATACCCAGGTGCTTGATTAGATAGAGATACCTCTATGTACCAACTCCCCGGCACCCTGCAGTCAAAGCCTTTCATTCATGTGGGGCTTCCTATAGTTTGGTAGCCTTTTTCCTTATCCCTCCCACTGTGTTCATTATATAACTGCCACTGACAATACTTATCCAGCCATATGGACTCAGCAGCACTTGAGCTTTTCGCGCGTTCTCCGTGCATCCCACAGTTCTCATTCTGGAGAGCAGAGCTCTTCATTTCTGGTGTGCAACCCATTGTGTTGCACAGGATGAGCCTCAAAGGGCAGCCCTGTGGGGTGGGGTTGAAATCAGAGCCTGAATCTAGGGCCTACCCCAAAACAGTGGTCCTCCTTTTTCCCAGTGCACCTATTTGCACCCACACACACCTGTGTAAAATGGAGGGGATGATAGTCCCTTACTCTTAGCACTGTGGTGAGAAGCACTCAGGGCATTGCACTGACTGTATGCTGATGAGCTAATAGCACTTGTTGTGTTGTTGGGGCTGTTACATGATGCTTTATTTAAGTCTTAAACAACTGTAATTGACCTGCATAAACACGATTGCTCTCACACTTCATTGGGAAATGGGAAAGAAGACAGTGCAATAAGGGTAACTTGGCATTGGCTCTTAAGGTGATGCTCAAGTTCATGGTTCACATGGACTGCTCTTAAGTATCTGTTTCTAGTAGTTTTAATATTATACTGATAAAGAGCATTTACATGGATTCATAGATTTTTTTTTTTTTACTTTAAAGGTAGAAAATTAGATGTGTAGGTTTTTGAATTGAAAGTATCTCAAAATCTCACAAAACTAAATTTAGAATCTCAGGCCAGGACCTGTGAACAAAAAGTAAAATGGTTTTCTGTTTGCAATCAGCATTTAGCCAGAGCTTTGCTAAATTACACAAATTACCTACATCCTAAGGTGTAGGGTCTAAAGTGCTCAGGGATTGAGCCAGCTTTCAGGAGAGAGATCAGATCTAGGGCACTGTGAGTTCCAGAAGGCATCTGCTACCCGATTCTTCTGCAACAGCTCCCACAGCGTGGTCACTTCTGTGTGAACAATTCTCATGTGGGTAGGATCAGAATTTCTCTCCTGCTGAACAGCGCAGTGAATATTTATTGTTTGCTTTTGTGTCTGTCCATTATATTCTTTAAAAAGGAGATTATGGTATGCTTTTTGTCATATATTTTCAGCACACACTTTCAAACCTCAGCTAAAAGCAGAAGGGTGGTATTTTCTGTTTCCCCTGGAAACCTGCAGAGCGGATGTTTTGAGGCCTTTCTTTCCAGGTGGAGATCTCAGCACGCTGCTGGAAGGAGCATTTGTGCTCTGTAGGTGGATAGGTACTTAGTGCCCAAGCCCAAGAGTTTTCAGAATTCAGTTCAGGGAAATTTGCATATGAGTAATACATTCCTTAATTAGGTACCCAAATTAAAGAAAGCCAAATATATGATGAAGTAATATTAGTATGCCCCTCCCTATCTTTTTGAGCTAATGTGTTTAGAATAATGACATTAAGGTGATACCATTTTCTAGTTACAGATTTCAGTTTTATTAGAATAAATAGTAAGCTTTTGCTGATTATGCATTTGCTAGAGTAATATGTTAAGGGTTTGGTAAGTAAATAGAGAAATTCTGCTGTGTACTCCAGAAAGAGAAGAAACATAGAGTTCAAATTACTTTGGAGAATCCTTGAGATAGTACCTAATGTCCGCTTGTGCTGCCCAAGGATCTGTAAATTCTAAAGATGAAGGATGACTGTTCTTCAGTCACTCTGAGTTTAGAGGGGGAACCACAATCACACTGCAGCAGTATTAGACATCTGTGCAGACCACCATAGATGTGATCATGGGGCTGTGCTCCTCCAGTTGAGACATTATGAGAGAAGGGCCAAGGGAGTGGTCCATTCATAGTGTAGCCCTTTAAGCCTACTCATGGATTAATATGTATTTCCAACATGCTGTTTGGTTTTGTTTTTCTAGTCTGTGAGTCATCTGCGTTAGAGGGCAGATGGTTGAGCCATGCTACAAGTTCTAAGTCCAGCTTCCTCTCTTTCCAGTCTTATGACTGTGACCAGGGTGCGTCTCTGTATTTCAGTTTTATAAAGAGGAAATTCATAGTGCCTGCCAGCAGGATAAAATGTAGTGTTAAGGAAAATTGTATTTCTCAGGGCTGGAGAGATGGCTCAGCAGTTAAGAGCACTGACTGCTCTTGCAGAGGACCCAGGTTCAATTCCCAGCACCCACATGGTGGCTAAACAACTGTCTGCAGGTCCAGTTCAAAGGGATCCAGTGCCTTCTGAGCTCTGAGGGCATTGCACAACATGGGTTGTACTTACATACATGCAGGTAGTACACACATACACATAAAAACTAAGTAAATAAAATGTTTTTAAAGAAGAAAATTGTATTTCACGTTCCTATTCAGCATCAATAACTAACAAACAAGGACTGTTGATAAACAGTCATCATGTTGATGTGCTAGATTCTAAAATGCTGACTTCTTTCAAATAAAATTTTCCATTTTTCCTTCTCTAGCTCCAAGAGGAAAGCGAGGCTGGAAAACCTTTTATGCTGTCCTGAAAGGAACAGTTCTTTACTTACAGAAGGTAATGTGCAATGGATAAAAGTAAAACTCACTGTGGTGAGCATGTTGTGTAAGAAACATGGATGCATTTATGTGTCTCTACAATGTCAATGTATTGAATAACAATAAATTCACAAGCTGCATCAGTTACCTTGGCTGTAATTTACCAGTTATCCCCAATTTCACTTGATAATGACCATTGACAATCAAAAGTTCTTTTTCTTCTAATCTTAATTGCAAATGCAACTTGTAGATCACACAGTATTGCATAGTAAGGGCTTATAAGAGTTAAAGAGGCTACAGCGTTCAGAGATGCTTTATTAAGTACAAAGACAGAAGTGATGGAAATACAGAGTCACTCAGATGGTTAGATATTAATTAGCCCAGTAACAAAGTTGTTGGAGGTGGTTCAAGGCAGAGCCAATTCAAGCCCAGGTACATGACCTTGCTAAGCTGAAGTCTTGGAACAGTGGTGGAGCGTTGGTCACCTATAGATCCTGCAGTGCATATACTAAACGGGAATCTGTTCAGACCTCCACATCCTAGTGTTAGGGTTCCTCCTTCTTAGGGTCTGTAAGGTGATTCTGTCCTTCCTTAGTCTGGTGTGGTCCATAAGTTCACATATAAGTTCTGATATAATTTTGATGTGCCCATATGTCTGTGTGTTCCTGATCCACTTCACTAAGTTCATAGGTGGTCATTTTTTGTATTTGCATTAATAAGTTATTAGTCTTTGCCTCATGATTTATACTGGACAAGTGGTGGCTTTCAGTTATACAGACAAGACATAGAGTCATCTTCTTAGCATTTGCATTCAAAATACAACCAACTGCTGCTTTGTAAAATGGAATCAATTTGACAAGGATCATTCTGAAAGCTTCTGTCCCATACAACATAGAGTAACTTAAAGTTTGGCAGTGACTTAGAGCAGGGGATAGCCTGATCACATCCAGGAAACTTTATATAACACTAATTAAACAAAATATCCTTTCATATCAGTTCTATGAAAAAGCACCATCAAACATGCGTAGGACTGTTTAATCGATGCCTAAAATCTCTCTCTCTTTCTCAATCTTTATTACAGACTCTGTGTGTATGTGTGTGTGTGTGTGTGTGTGTGTGTGTGTGTGTGTGTGTGTATTTTGGGTTCAGCTTTAAAAAGATAGGTTATCCTTGGGGCTGGAGAGATGATTCAGGGGTTAAGAGCACTGGCTGTTCTTACAGGGGACCTGGTTTCAATTCCCAGCACCCACATAGTGGCTAACAACCATCTGTAACTCCAGTTCCAGGGAATCCAACACCTTCTTCTGACCTCTGCAGGCATTGCACAACATGGGCACACTTATATACATGCAGGTAATAGATTTGTAAAATAATAAATAATAAATAAAATAGTTTTTAAAATACATTACCTGGATACATATGTTTACGTGATCAGAGAGGAATGCATTCTGTTCCAATTGCTCAATAAGAAGTATTGAGCATAAGTTGGCAAGCTAGACCACATGTATAATTTGTTCAGTTGTAGACCAGTGACGGCAGCTGATTCCAGAAATCTTTATTATATAGATCAGTTATTCCCTTCTACATCTTGTTATTTAACGATCTTCCTTTCAATTCCACCTACACATAACACACATGTTTCTATTCAGGTCCTAAAAGTTTTGTACGTAGCAGTGCAGATACATTCCTAGTGACCTGGATACTTTCTTTTTTACATTCCTTCTCCCAATTCCAAATCTGTAAATGGGTTTGAGATTCAGTTTACAGCTTCTAGTTCCATGAGTGGTCTCCCAGGCTTCTACCTGCATGGCTCTGTCTGGGTGGACACAGAAAATTGTGTGATAGCTGCATGGTTGACTGGAAGAGGTTCACTTACCAAAGTCCCATAGGGTTTCAGCAACATGAAGGGGCAGATCTGAATTAGGGCTGAGAAGTAAAATACAACATTTCCCTCCATGGTGTCTCATAGGAGATGTATGTGTTTGTGTGTGTGGTGAAAGAATGTATAACATCTGTCCTCTTGGAATTTTATGCACAAAAGGTTCTTCTGGTAATGTAGTGAAGCCAGGGGTTTTAAGAAATTATGCACGAAATGACTATGAAGACCAGACATACGTAACTTATTATATAAAATTTTTGTGCACATAATGTATTTTTGTACAAATCATACTGTCACATTTTCATTTTACTAATAATGGTGATGGTGAGTGCCTTTTAAATACCTATTTGCCATTTGTGTATCTTTAAAAAATGTCTATTCAAGATCTTTGTTTCTTCAAACAAGTTTTTTGTTCATTTATTTTAATCTTTTGTTTGTTTTTCAAGTAAATTGTAGATATTCCTTATTACTTTGGATATAGTGCAAATGTTTCCTCCTGTTTCCTAGGGTTACCATTGTTCTGTGGTCAGCAGTTTAATGTAATGCCGTCCTGCTTGCTTGTGCTTTTGGTGGTCTAGCCAAAGGCACTGCCAAGCTTTTCATCTGTTTTCTTCTAGGAATACTATGGTTTGGGAGTCCTAAGTATATAAGTATTTAATTCATCCTGAGTTAATTTTTTTGCTTGGGGTAAGAGTATATGTAGAGAAACCTATTTTCCAGCACCCTTCTGTTCACAATCATGTAGCACTGCCCCTTTGTTAAAGATTTGATCAAGTGTTTGTGGGATTTTCCTAGGCTTGCTCTGCTGAACCATTGGTCTGCCGTCACACCAGTAGCATTCTACAGCTTTATGATAGGTTTTGAAATCAGAACTGTAATTCCTCTAACATTCCCTTCTCTGGATTGTTTTGGCTGTTTGGACTTCTTTGTGAGTCTATGTGAAACTTACAATTTTTTTTAATTTCTGTAAAACTTGTCAGTAGCATAATGATTCCACTGACTCCGTAGGTTGCTTTGAATAATATAAATATTCTAACAATGTTAAGCTTTCCAATCCTTGAACATGGCGTGTCTTTTTATTTACTTGTGTGTCATTTCATTCAGGGATGCCTGTAGTTTTCAATGTGTTGGTCTTTTGTTACCTTGGTTGCATATTCCTAGTTTTTTTAATGTTGATGCCTTTGTCAGTGGGATCATCAGCTGGCTTTCCAGGTTATTTGTTGTTGTTGTATAGCAATGTGAAATGATGTCTGTGTTAATTTGCATCATGCAACCTTGCTGATTGTATTACTTCCAGTAGGTGTTTGATGATATCATTAGGTTTCTACATGTATGAGCTTGTCTCAGATTAAGTCAAACTGTGCCTGGTGTTTTTAATATTCTCATCCTGGAAGGATATTGAATTTTATCAAGTGATTTCTTGTATTTGTTAAGGAATATAACTATAAATCTCAATCTCTATAGACGATAACCATCCTGGGGTTGGAGAGATGGCTCAAGGGTTAAGAGCACTGGCTGCCCTTGCAGAGGACCCGGGTTTGGTTCCAAACACCCACGTGGCAGCTAACAATTATCCATAACTCCAGTTCCAGGGCAATCTGATGCCCTCTTCTGACCTTCGTGAATGCGAACATTGCATGACCTGGATGCACTTAACACACCTGCAGGCAATACACTCATACGTATAAAATAAAAAAATATTGTTTTAAAAAAAGAGATGAGTTAAAGTTAATTTTGGCCTCTGCAGGCATTGCACGACATGGCTGCACTTAAGTACATGCAAGTAATATACTCATATACACATAAAATAAAAATATTTTTAAAAATAAACAGTATTCATTCTTTGTTATTATAGTATATCATTTGGTTCATATGCTGAACCGTGCTTCTCTCCTTACTGATAAATACTTCTTGGTATTGTTGTATAATTCTTTTAATATATTATTAAATTCAGCTTGTTATGATTTTGCATCTACTTTCATTAAAGATATTGACTTCTTTTCTCATAGTATTTTTTTTTTTTAGTTTTGATTTCAGGGTCATGCTGGTCTCCTAAAATGAACTTGGATATGTCCCCTGTTCAGTGTTTGAAAAGGATTCATGCTAACTCTTTTAACTGCTTAGTAGGATTAATTCACTGCTGAAGCCATCCCGTAGCAGGCTTATCTTTGTTGGGAGATTTTTTTTTTTATTACAGAGTTGGTCCTCTTACTAGCTCTAGATTTGTTCAGATGTTCTGCTTTACCATGATTCAATCATGATAGGTTATGTGTTTCTCGTGATTTGTACATTTCTTTAGGTTACCCAAATTGTTGGTATGTAATAGTTCCTAGTAGTTTCTTTATAAACTTAATTTCAGTACAGAGTTTGGAATGCCTCCGCTTTCATTTCCAACTTTATTTATTTGAGTTTTCTCTTCCTTTGTTGGTCTACCTAAACGTTAAGCATTTTTTTGTTGGGGGGAATCTTAGTTTGCTATTTTTGTTATTTTATATTCCCTATTTCTTTTCTAATCTTAATTCTTTCCGTTTTTTGCTAGGCCCTTTAACTATAAAACTAAGATGCTTGATAGCTTCCTTCCTATTTACTGTAGACATTTATGACTGCAAACTTTCTTCTGGATTTGCTTTTGATGCATTCCATAGCTTTGATTCCATAAGTTGTGGGTCTGTTTTCATTTGTCTCAAGATAATTTCCAGTTTTCCTTTGGATTTCTTCCTTTGACCCATTGATTTGAAGAGTACAGAAGCATATTTTTAATTTCTACATATTTTTAATCTCCCAAGTTTTCCTCTGCTATATGCAATTGTAAAAAACATGAATGATATGATTTCAGTTGTCTTAAATTTAAGATTATGACATAGCACTGTTGAGAGAATGTCCTGTGTACACTATTGAAGAACAAGTATTCTGCTGTGTGGAATGTTTTGAACATATCTGAACATTTCATCTATCACATTCTCTAGTCCTCCATTCCATATCAGTCTCCTGCCTGCCATTCTATCCACTGTTGAAGAATGGAAATCCATTGTCTTTGCCAGTTTCTCTACTTCTGTCAATGATTGTTCCATGTGTTTGGGGGATGGATGGATGGACGGACAGACAGATGGACGGACAGACAGGTGATAGTTATCTTCCTA